TATTTTTGTTTCTCTTCAACTATGCTTTATCATGTTTTATCACTTCTTGTTTTTTAGTAATATTTATTTCATGTTTTATTATTAAAATTCTAATATATGAAAAAAGAATTCTAATATATGATGCAAAGATCTAATTTTTTTACATAAAAACCCTTAAAATATTCCAAATAAACATTTCTTTAAGCCATGGTGTGATTAGAACGGAAAAAAATTATACTTTCTTCTCCTTCAGGGGTGTGTCCAGCAATGATTTCTCTTCTTTGGAGGCTTTATGTAAGAAAATCATTAAAGAAAAACAAGCTTTTGAAAGATTGGAAGTTAAGAAAGAAACTTTACTGGAAATGTTTAAGGTATATTGAACCATAATGTATGACCTCCACTTTTATATTATTCATTAATGTTACTTGAAGTTGTATCACCAGGGTTTAGTGTACTATTAATATTTTGTTCTTTAGAGAAAGTTAATATTTTTAAAACATGAAATATTGATAATTTATATTTATACAATGCTCTGATAAGTAGTACTTTAAGTTATATTTTAGCTATAGTAGTTGGAGGTAGAAGGAAGATTTTTTAAAAAAATCATTTTTCCTATTTTCAGTACAATAAGTTCAAGTGCCGGATATTGAATGAAAAAGTGAATACTCCAACTACCACAGTGTATAGGTGAGACTATCAAATGTCATTAAATGCATCTGGTGTGTATGTCATTTTGTCTCTATTAAAATTTCTTTCATTTTATCTTTAGGTGTGGCCCCTTAATAGATCTTTGCCGGGGTCCTCACGTCAGACACACTGGCAAAATCAAGACTTTAAAGATACATAAAGTAAGCAATGTACTTTTAAAGACCCTCTGTATAAACGTATTTGTCTCATATGGTTGTGTGTTTAAACTTCATTGGTTTCTCTTTTCTACCATTTTTTTCTTGCATATGCAAGGATGATCTTTTTTCTCCTGCTGTCTACCAACTGGGTGCTGTATGTCATCAGTCTTTTATAACTCAAAGTATTTCAAGGGTGGACTGACTCTCCATCACCAGAGCAAGCATAGAGGGATAGAGATTTGGGGGAGTCACAAAATCAGGCACTGGTGGGCCATCGTGGCTCTACAAGCTTTGAGACTTTGCTGTAGGAATATGTGCTTTTGCCTTTTGAATGTCTAAATTAATATTACCCAAGTTGTTCTTTTTAACAAAACTAATCCTGCCAGTTTTATACTAGTTCATAAACATTTTATGGTGATTATTACAAATGCACTTTAAATCAGGATAGTAATTGACTTATTTCAAAGTTTGTTTGTTGGCTCATTTTCATTTTTCCTTAGTCATTTTGTGAGAAATGCCTTTGCTGTCAGAGAAATGTTCGTGGAATTGTGGTTTGAGGGGTATTGATGGGTGGACATTTTTGAGGGAAGAAAACAGCCAACTTTGTGCTGCAGAATGAGTCTGACCCACCCTAGTTAAGCTTCAAAGCAATTGGGAGTTAAAATAAGTGCAGTGTTTACAAATTTGAATGTTTCATGGTTAATCGCTTTTTTTCCCACCTAGAATTCCTCCACATACTGGGAAGGCAAAGCAGATATGGAGACTCTCCAGAGAATTTATGGCATTTCATTCCCAGATCCTAAAATGTTGAAAGAGTGGGAGAAGTTTCAAGAGGAAGCTAAAAACCGAGATCATAGGAAAATTGGGAGGGTATGTTAAAGACCACTGATGAGTCTAGACTGAGTTTTCTTCAATTTCATGTGGAATTTAGCTGTATTGACTAGGATTTTCATTTTGAAGCGATGCTGTAGCTTTCAAGTAACTATGGTACTATTTCCTATATGAGCTATAAATGCTAATTGTCCACATTATCTTTCTGAAGTGTACTCAGTACCACACAAGAATGCATTTTAACTACTGCTTTTATTGAGAACAAATGCTGGTGACCTACAGCTTTCTATAAGAGAAGTATAGCAGCTTTTCACAGAGCTGGGAGAACTGGACTTTGGAAACTGTCTATCTAGTCTAACTGACCCATTTTAAAAATGTGGAAACAGAGTCCCAGAAAGTTTAATCTGCTTGTTGCCCAAGGTAACACAGCAAGTTTGGGATTCTGTGCTGTCATTTTCTTTACCCATTATCTCTCTACCCCTGAATGGCCTCTAAGCTGGAAGTCAGGTTTGATAACATTCTCCCTTAAAATAGGGTTTTCTCTATGCCAGGGGTCCTTGGCTATTAGGTCATGAAGCTTGAGCTAGAGGCAGCATCCAGTGCCATCTCCCTTGACTGCCTGGCATTCCAGCTAGCAATGGTTGTCGGGCCCTTCCCTGAGAGCTTTGGGTATTTGGTGAGGGAGGTGGTGAGCAAGGAGACAGGAGGATGTGTTTCTTTCACCATCACACAAAACAGCCAACTTCATCTCCATCATCTATTTTGTTATCCCAGCCTCCTTCCTCCCGCTCCTATTAAAGAAAGAAAGAAAGAAAATCAAAAAACACCAAGATCTTGGAGCTCTGGGGAATTAAAAACCTTGAGAGCTACTATAGTGGTAGTAAGAGAATTGAGTCCCTTGCTCTACGTCACTCTTGGGTAAGCTTCACAGGATTGAGGGATATAACAGGGAATGTACTTGTGCTAAGTTGTAAATCAGCTGCCATTCTGTACCGTTAAATTGTACAGCAGAAATATTGGCATAGGTTCTTTAATTCAGGATTGGCAGAATTGAAATATGAGATATCATGACCATATTCTGAACTCAAGAACACTGCAGTTTATGTTGATGGTGTGTACCTATATATAAACATTCTTTTGCTTTTTTTTTACCCAGGACCAAGAACTGTATTTCTTCCATGAACTCAGCCCTGGAAGTTGCTTTTTCCTGCCCAAGGGAGCCTACATTTATAATACGCTTATTGAATTCATTAGGGTAAACCATATTCGTTTTCTTCTGAAGATTTAGGATATAAGATGATTTTATTAAATAGGTCTGCTGAAGGAAAGATAATCTCCATTTGAGAAGAAATATATAAAACAGTAAATAAAGGTAGAAGTCTGGGTCTCATAAACTTTCTAGTATGTGATTTTGTCCATATACATAAGTATATATGCAGAGGGAAGCCAATGAGCTTGAAGTGGGACCTGTAGTCCTTTACATAGAAGCTCTGTGCCCTCTTTGACTTTAATTGTTCATTTGTGTTTTCTTTG